CTATATTACATTTTATAAGTACTTAGCATTGTTGTTATAATGCGTATATACCTAATATGTGTACATATAAAAATGAAGATATCGATTACGTGTGCCATTGTCGACTTATCTTCTTCGTGGCTAACAGTATATGCAGTTTGTTAGTTTCTTTTCAACGGGTTCATGAAAAATCGGAAGTTCGTGGAAGTCTTATTCATTTTTCAATAGGAGTTGYTTACATAATGTAATCGTGATGTCAACATTATATTATGTCTTCTAAAATGAAACTTTTAAGAGCAACTTAGATTTTAAACTTAAAAGCTATTACTAAGTATTTTTTATCATATAGGTATAACCATAACCCCATACTGGTTACCATGTCAGTCACATCAGATAACTGTTTATAGCGGAATATTATATTCAATTCAAAGTTCGTTTAATATTATATTTATTATGCACTATATTTTTTGAACAAAATATTTAGTTATTAACTTGTAACTTGTGAATTTTACACAGTACCTATTTCACGAAATTTAAAAAATAATGTACTCAACTACTAAATGTGTAAATCATTTATCAATATATAAAACAATAGCCAAACATGATATTTTGACACTCGTCAAAGTGCTACATCACTTCTTCTGCACAAAAAATTATTCAGAAAAAATATAATAAAATGTAAAACAATTAAGTCCCATTAATATAATATTATACCATTGATTCGCAGTTATAATAGATTAATTAGAATCAAAATTTGAACAATTAAAACTTTAGATGACTATGTATATTGTATAGTATCTATTTATCTAATAATAGTATATAAAATGACACAATACAATTTTTAAACTTAATTAAGTTTTTTTGTTTCTTTATGTTCAGGACTAAAAAAAAAATAATGATAAACAATTGCGCTGAATTAAAAATATAATACATTAAATTTTTTAAACTGTGTACTTACTAGCAATTAAAATTACTCTGCTCATTAAAATAATAATATCGCTGAAATAAGGTATATATTATAATATAATATTTTTTTCGAAAYTCAACCATGATTTATTTTTTATCTAATATTTAGACATTAAGATGATTCCACGATCAAGCTAAGTGGCAAAAAAAAATACGTAGGTATAAAGTGTTTCCAAGCAGTCACTCGTCCTGAAACAATTAATGATGAGCGCAGTTTGATACCAGTTGGCAAACCAGTGTATCCACTCCACTGCGTTCTTCACTAGTGCAAGTTAAAGCACTAAAAAATGAAGAAAAATATAAATTCACAAATATATTTCAAATCTCAAAGATAAAATCGAGATTTATTGTAGTTAAAGTTCTTTTTCATTTACATATAAATATGACCTAAGACATTTTTTTGTTATTTTCTTAACGTTAAATAATGATATTAAATCCTTAAGTTTTATTTTTTCCGAGACAAATTTTAATCCTAACAGTATATTATAATAAATATAAGCATTTAACCAATATTTTCTAATTCTTATATTTGCCTTTTACTCTTAACAAACAAAAAAAAATAGTGGTAGGAAAGGGTTTTTTGATACAATGCAAATAATATAAAATATTGATATTCATTCCATAACGTACCTATTTATTAAATTTTATATAACATCACGATAGTATAATATACCATTGTATATTACAGTAAATATTCATAATCAATGTATTTAGTTGGAACATATGCGTAAAATTAGCTTCAGAAACGTTTAACTATTATTTAAGCACACAAGCACAATATTACATAGTGCTTTAGTAATCAATTGTTTGAAAAAAAAGTTCTAGTCTATTAATTGTGTAATTTATTTTATTACAGCTATTACATTATTAATTATTATTATCAATAATCGACAAAATATTGTTAGTTGACTTTTACATCAGTTAACCCTTTATAGGGCAGAACAAAAAAAA